AGCTTTCTAAGTACATACTGTATGTTACATCACAACCTTGATTAGAATAATATATACTAATTTTATATACATATTTTTGTTTATCTACTCATTTGGCTAAATTAAAACGGGTTATAAAAATAACGTGTGTGAGTAATTATGTACGCATGTAAGAAATTATACTTCTTTGGCGTAACAGAACAAAAATAGCTAAATATTTCATCCTGTATGTCACAACTCTGTTTGTAAAAGGAATGCAGCTAACTTCATCATGTCGCTTTTTAGCTGTCGGTGTACGCGCACATCGTAAAAATTTTACTTTCATAATTTCGTAATTTAAATACTAAATAGTTTATTAAGTATTAGCTATTGACTGTGGCTACGTGTGTGTTTTCATACTTTGCAACCACTTAATATTATGAAAGGACGTAAAAACGTAAGTAAGGTGCTAAAGTTTCATCTTCATGTCTCCACTAGTAATTGTATTACAATATCTTTTATATATTCGCTATACTGTAATTTAGATTATTGCCAATTTGTATTATAAGTATTCTAAGTGTAAGTCTCGTCAAAAATAAATATGGGACTCTACCGATTAAAATTCATTCATCGCAAAGGCTTGAACAAACTTACACAAGGGCAGACGAATTCTTAAAAACACCCAAACGTTAATTATTAATTATATGTATGTAATATATTCAAATACAATTTTGACTACAATAAAATTTTATTTTATTAATATTGGATCTACATTTAGATAAACATTCATGACTCTATTAATTCTTTTCTGTCTAGTAAAACAATAAGGTTAGCACTTGCGTGTTGTTCAGGTCTTCGAACTCTATCTAAGCTATAATATTAAGATAATTCTTACATTGTATTGAGTTTCATTGTAGTAACTATAAAATTGTTTTATGAGTATCATAAAGTGTATGTATGCACGTAAGCAATTACTTATCTCACAACATCATAATGCAATATTGATTAATGACTTTCATGAGAATAATTAGCATTCTTATACTAAAAAATATTTATACATATAGTAAAATTCTAACTGGGTCGAATCTGTACATTAAATATTTTATGGAAAATCTTATTGAAATAATCATTACTATCGATACAGACGCCGAAACTATGGTTTTTAGAATTTTTGTTTGTCTGTCTGTTTGGGAACGCATCACGAGAAAACCACTGTACAGGTTTTGATGAAATTTTGTATGATAATAGCTGGTTATCCGGGTCAACGTATAAGATACTTTTTGCTGCGGGAAAATATTCCATCTAATTTATAAAGTAAAAAGTAAAAGTATAACAACAAAGATTAGTTTTCTTCTTAGTACCTACATTTTTAGAATAAGTCTAGAGAGATAACTTAATTTATTAAGCCTATAGAGATAACTTAATTTTATTTAGGTTTTTTTAATTGTAATAGCAAATTTTTAAATTGGCTCTTATGGTTAAATTAAATAGGCAATGTTAATTTCTCATGGTATCGTCACAAAAAGGTGCAGTAATTAATTTAACCATAGGTTATCTAATTTAATTATATTAAATTAAGAATATTTATTATAAAAAATATATCAGCCCTAAACAACATTTTAAAGACATAGCTTTTGCAAGCTTGTAAATAAAAGCTCACAAAACTCGACTTAGTTTCCTTTGAACTTTTTACTGCGTAAAAGTAGTATTATTTTTAATCGGATGATAAACTATAATACCTCTTTCTAATCGTAGTTTGATATTTAAATATATACTTACGTTTTTATAAGTTTTTTTCTAAAACTTTTCCAAGCACAATAGCGTCACAGCTTTTTTCAATCGTTCTAAAAATAAACACTACACTTATATATTATTTATTTGAAAACGTGGTTTCAAATACTTTAATATTCTTATTTATCCACACACTGTTCTTTGGTTTTTGATTTGAATTTCTATGTTCTCGATAGAACTTTAATTAAAATTGTACGCAACGAACGCGAGTAAACGAGTGAGAGGTCGATAGGCGTTTAAATTTAATATGGGTAAGTAGCCGAGAGCGTTGCCGTCACAGAGTAAGGAGGACACAGAGATATCTTTTTTATATACCGGTAAGAAACAACATTGTAAGTAATTATTCAATATTGTAACATTTTTTATTTTGACCTTGTAAAGGAATATTTTCTAATTTTTAATTATCGTAATAAAATGTTGGTTACGTACGTCGATACTATGTAGGTATGTTTAAATGAACCAATTGAACGAAAATATGTGTGAGAATGCAGGTTGCATGTCTAAAGGAATCTAGCAAGTTTTCGAAAGACATGTAAAGTCCGCCAACCCGCAGTTGGCCAGCATAGTTGACTATGGCCTAATCCAATATGGCCCCTCGTGTTGAAGGGAGGCCCGTGCCCAGCAGTGGGACGTTAAAAAGATCTGAATACAAGTGAACCATCAACCAATAATATAATATCAAGATTGTCAATGATTACATGACACGTATAATAATTTTGTAATGAGATCAATATTGTGTATTATATTTTTTTGGAAAAAGCGGCTATACCTTTCTGCTTTCTTTACTGTGGGAATCATTTGAGGATGAAAGGAGGTCTTACTTAATGATTATGCTAAAGAAGAGGATAGAAAGAATAAGCATGCGCGGGAAGTCGCAAGATGTAGGAAGTTACACGTACATGCTTTAATGACTAGTTGCTAGTTAAAATAATTAAAATCTCCGGGAAACGAGCTACAATCTCAAATATAAATGTTTTCTTTCCTACTTTCATTATATCTTATCATAACAAACTCGTACTTATATAGGTACTTTTTATTTCTACAAAAAAAAATATTTTACTTTTTTCTCACATTACACTGTGCTATTACCGAAAACGAGTTTTTAGCCCATCTCGTTCTTGTAGATACTAGGCCGTAAGATTTGGCCTCATACAAAATTGCCTATGGGGCACAAAAAAATCGTAACATTTTTATAGTACATTTTAATAACTTCACAGGTAATAAATATAAACGATCATCTAATATTATATTAGTGATCACTCCTTGGTCGAAAATCGATACAATTCATTAAATTTAAACTTGGTCAAAGTAAGCTATAACTAGTATAACTAATCTCAATAAATAGACTATAAAATGCAAAAAGATGTTAAAAATCAGACTAGTAGTTTGACAGATTAGCACGTGTAGACAGACAAACAATCTACAGCGTTATATATTAGTACAAAGTTGACGAAGGCAAAAGCTATCTAACATCCTGCTGCAACTTTCAGAAGTGGGGTAATTATACGTACATAGGTAAATTGCACGAGCGGAACCGCAATCAAAAGCAAATTCATTTTCTCCATATAAACTTTAACTACGCAAAAGCTCATACTCCTGCTTACTTGCAATCTGTTTCTTGCAAACACGAGGGTTTTCTTCACGTATTAATGTATAGATGGATTTTCACAGTTTTTTTTGATGTTATACAGAAGTAAGAAGATATGTGAAGCAAAAGAATTTGAGACGTTTGGAAAATAATACGAGAGTCAAATTTTTACGATGCGAGCGCACACCGACAGCCAAAAAGCAACTTAATGAAGTTAGCCGAAAGCGACATGATGAAGTTAGTTAGCATTCCTTTTACAAATAGAGAGTTGTGACATACGGGGTGAAATCTTTAGCTATTTTTTTTCTGTACGCCAAAGAAGTATAACTTCTTACGTGCGTACATATGTAAGTACACCTACAGACACACGTTTTTTTTGTTTTGTTTTTTAATTTTGTACCATTTTAAACTTTTTTAATTATTTTTATTTTGGAGTGGGTGTAATGGAAAAATATTTTTTTTTAATCATGCGCTAGTCTATAAGTGGGATGTGCTATGTAATACTTTTTTCCTATATTGTATATTTTACTTTATATCGCATTGTAAATTATAAATTAAAAAATTGATATTTTGCACTGTTTTACATGTAAGTAAAAACACGTCTGTACTTAGGTTAATTATTTCTTGCAATAATATCATATTTAAAACCACAAGCATTACATTATGTACTAATTATAAAGATAAGAAACAATAATTGCTTCGTTGTTTCGAAGAAGAGGTTAAGCAAACCAACGATAAGAACATATTTTATTAAAGAACTAGCGACTCACCCTCGCGTCGGTCGGGTTCATCCCGACGTACGTTTTGTCGGTTAGTATAGAATATACATAGATACAAAATAAACAGTTCTGAACTTTTCCAGCTCTTTTTTTGGATTTTCCTAATTTTATTTTTTTCTTAAACTATCCCTGACACACCCCCATCAAAACAAAAAAAGAATTATTCAAATCGGCCCAGCCGTTTTTGAGTTTTAGCAAGACTAATAACGGCAATTGATTTTTAAATAAGTATATATAGGTATAAATATATATATAGGTATATATATATATATATATATATATATATATATATATATATATATATATATATATATACATTGTAAAATGCACTTTCGCATGTATAATATTTTAGTATTTTTTATTTATTTATTATTTTTAAAATTTTTAATGTTATCTAAAAGTTCCTTCCTTACTCAGCCATAGTCAAGGACTTAAGGATATGGCTCGATAAAAAAAAATATTAACATATATTAAAATAACTTTAAAATTTAAATGCTAAATACATTAACACTTCATTTATTTTGGTCAATAATAATTTTAAGCTTTTACAATCTACGTATTGTTTTTATACAAAATGTTAACACAGTATAGTGTTTTCTACAACTAAATGCCTCTTGTAATTTTTCCTTTGAGTCTGGTAATATTATCACGCTTTATAACATTTCTAGACTTAGATCTAAGTTAGACCTAAGCAGTTTAACCTCCTGGGACCTGGCGTCATATCCATATTACATAGAACGGAAAAAATTATAGCACCGCCATCTTTTAAGATTTGTAGTAACTTTTACTTTAATTCAATAGATACGGTATTTGCCCGTTGATTTAGGCTGTGATTGGCTGACGAAATGAGATGTATTACTTTAGTTTCTTGGTTAGAGTGAACAATGGCGTCTTGGCCAGAAACACGTGGTAAGGATTTTTGTATTTTCTCTTAAAATATTTACAATTCCGTTAACGCTTTATGTTTTTCTTTATGCCTTATGTGCCTGCTTATTATAAATATATCCCTAAGTGTTGTCTTTTGCTATAGTATTATGAAATAAGTGAGTAAATTTGAATGTCATGCAGGTATTACACAAGGTCCCAATGACTACTGTCAATCAAAGGAACCTAATGTAATACCTGTATTACGTAGAGATGTTTTTCCTAATAAAGCTGTTTATCTTTACATTACTTTTATAGTTTTTAATGGGTATACACAATAGCGAAATAGTGCATTATTTAGAACAGTCAGAGCTCGATCTAACTGATGAAGAAGACCCAGAACCTATGCCAATATTTCAAAATGAAGAGAAAATTAGTTCTGGTTCCGGTTCTTCAAACTCAGAAGACGAAACTCGTCCGGGTTCTGAAATATCTCTGGCCTCATACACTACAGCTACCACTAGGTATCGTGCTAGAACGAGAGATGAACCTAGGACACTTGGAGGAAGGTGAAGAGGCAGTAGATTGAGAACGAGAGGTGCACAAAACGATAGATCGTCACTGGTAAATAACAGAAGGAACTGCAATTTCTCGCCCTTAGACAGGCCAATTTTTCAGCCAAGATATAAATCTATTGATTCTGATACTTGGATTGACTATTTCTAACAATATATTTCTGATAAAATTTTGGAATAAATGGTTGACGCGACAAATAGAACCTATCTGCTAAAACAAGGAAATGAATGAAAGGAAGCTTGCTTTAAAAGTATTGAAATCTTTTATAACCATTTACCTAATAATGGGTTTTATTAATTTAACAAAAATTTGCATGTATTGTTCAAGCAAATATGGTATTCAAATTATAAAAGAATCATTGAACTGAGTACGTTTTTTCGACATTCGGTCATCTTTGAAAGTTATCGTTGACGCTGAAGCTGAAGTTTCACAACAAGACAAAACAAATAAGATTTGGAAAGTTGCACCTCTTTTTGATGAAATATTACAAGGTATCATAGTCAACCAAGAGCGGATAACATTAGCATTAATGAAATGATAATTCTATTTAAAGGTCATGGCAGAATATGACAATACTTCCCAGGAACACCAACCCTGTATTAAGATTTAGGTTTATGAATTATTGTAGTTGAAGTTTTTTTAACATTAATTACTATTGCCTAGCTTATTAATTTAAAAAAATAACTTATGTTCCATGGCATGTATATGTATATGACACAAACAACAGTCTGTATAGGGACCTTATGTCGCATATATATGACATTGAGAAAATCTACATTTTCCGAACTAGATTTTTTTAAATATTTTTTTCGGTTATCTGGCCAACTGCTTATTAGATAGGGATAGTTTTCATCGTAATTCCTTACAATAAATTGTCCTGGGTCCCAGGAGGTTAATGCTGTAAAGGTGACATCATTTGCGTATATTAAATGTTAAGTGCGGGCAATTCAGTTCTCTTGCAAGTACCAACATAAACGAAAATGGACATTTATTTATTTACATAATTTGACTATACGTTTGGCTCAGTTTATAGTGACAACATTTGCTGTGCCAGCGGGTTCGAGTCCCGCTGGGGGCATTCATTTGTGTGATGAGCCCGAATATTTGTACTCTTGTCATGGGTGTTTATATTTATAATATGTCTCTATTTAAAGTTATACATGTGTAGTGTATCAAATATCTGGTATCCATAACACTAACCTCATAGTTTACCATGGAACTAGATGGTGCCGTGCCTCAATATCCCAACATATTAAAAAAAACAATTACTTATGTAACTATATTTGTCGTACAGTTTTACTGAAGCATCTCTATAATCAAAACTACGATAAAATCGCTCGAGAGGTATATTATTAAACCATTGCAGCTAGTATCGTTGAAGATTACAGATAGTTACATTCGAAAGCATAAAAACATATTTTAAACAAAGTCAGAGACTTTGAGCATTTGGAATTTTATACGAAATATAAAGAAAATATTTATTCACAAAATATGGTTTACTTGTATATGACTAAAGTAAAAATAAAGTGTGCACTTTAGACAAATTGTGGAATAGGATTTTAAAGTACTGGTGAACAAAATTGGTTATGAATATATACAATTTAAAACATTGCAAGTTTATCTAATTTATAGATAATAATTGCCAAGATCGAGTTGATGTGATGAAATCATGACATGGATAGTGGAACTCCAATTACGTTAGGCCCCTTCCTGACTTGCGGGCGGTATCTAAATGCGTATGCGTTATTTTCTACGTTACCGAGAGCTTACTGGTGTCGGCCAGATCTCCTCACTGTCGATAAACTGTCGGTATGCTTTCAGTATAAAACAATTCAACCTTGCAGAAACTTGAAGAAAATGTGTAATATGAAACTTGAAAAAACGCAGTATTCCGATTTCCGAACGTTTACCGCCCCGTTCCCGCGCAGCCCGCACCGATCAGGAAGCGTGCATTCAAATATAGTAGCTCGGTAATGAATTGGTAAGAATTTTACCGAGCGTACTTTACTGCACCGATACCAAGTCAGGAAGGGGCTTTTATTTACTTCGTTTTGATAAAATAATCTGTGTTACTTTAAATCACAAAGATAGCGGGTAAAGGACTCTATTAGTTCGAAATATAATGATTATTTGGGTTTTGGTTCCGGTACATAATTTAAAAACTTTAAAAAAATCTGTGAAATGTATAGCTTTATTAAAATAACAGACATACACTTCTATCCTATTTATATATAAGTATACAATATACATATACATTGTTAGATACTGATTTCGACATTGCATAACGACTCTGCATTATAAAGCAACTAAGTAGTTGCAGCAGTGACGCAACGTACTCTTCATAAAGCAAATCATGCTTACAGATAAAAATACCAGATTTATATTTTCGATTAATTAAATTGATGGCACTCTAGATTTTTTTTCTTATTGTTTGCCTATATGTTGATTTATGTACATAATCGATATATGCTTTCGATATTATAACTGTAGCTGTTAACAGCTACATATATAAAAACGCAAACTTGTAAATAAAATTAGAAAGATTATATCCGCTATATCATATAATTTGAAATGTTTTTAGACTGACTTATTTCTTAAACTTTTAATAAGAATATTGTGTGATCCATGATGCTTGTTAAATAAATAAATAAATAAATATTATGTTGGGACCTGATTCCTGAACATACCACCATCTAGTTCCATGGTAAGCTTGGCTTGTGTTATGGATACCAGATAGTTGATACATTACACATATTATATAACTTTAAATACATACATATTATAAATATAAACAGCCATGACAGGAGCCAAACGTTGGCGTCTATTGTAATTCTTTAGTCTAAGGTGGAAGACTAATAAACATAGAAAGACAAACTCATGGAAGGTTCAAATACTATAATTATACATAATTACGAGTATGTATGTACTATAATAGTTTTATTTAACTGACAAATCTCATGTTTTCTCCATTGGACGTGACATTAGCGAAGTAATCTATCTGTATTCAATTGGCACGTATTAAAGCCATTACCAAGAAAATTGGATTGAATAGAAAACTTAATGGCTACAGGAACCAAACCACAGACTATCTATAGCTATATCACGGTAATATTTATGCATTACATTACCGTGGCTATATGCACATATACATACTATTATATTATATAATAGTACTTAATTAATTAAACGTACATTTTATAATAAATAATCTCTGTTTATTCTGCCATTATTTTTTAAATAATCTCTTGTTCATACTTATCCTAAGCAATTAGAATTTTTTAATCTCACGAAAAAAGACTTTAATATACGTACGAGTATTTTTAGATAATTACATAGCCAAAGATTATAATCTTTATAATTTTTTTCCATAAATAAACTTATCAAATAGAGTTACAAATCCTATTGTTTACTAAATTATTCATCAACAGCGTAACCTAAAGTCCTCATATCTTCATCGAACTGCTTATTTTTGTACTGTTTGATCTTATGTAGCCAGTCTCTTAGCGAAACGGACTGCCGGTGACCACCGTATCGAGTTGGGAGACACTCTGGATCTATGTACCTTGAATAAAATTGGTATGAAATTTTGACATATTTGTATATAAAACTATCTTTTCGGATTATTTCGCGGGTTTATTTCGATTTTTGGTTCCCGACGTTTCGAATGCTTTACAGCATGACGGGAGAGACTGAACCAAAAATCAAAATAAATCCGTGAAATAATCCGAAAAGATAGTTTTATTTAAAAATATCAAACATTCGCGTAAATCTAAGAAAGTATTATTTGACATATTTATTGACTAACTTAATTTTTAATAGGACGATAGGACTATTGTATTGATTCTTTAAGGGTTTAAAAATATTGTCACTTCACAAAGACTTTGGAGAACAAAAGTTTATTTCTAGTTGTCTTCACTAGTTATAGACTTTTCTTCTCGTTCTATGCATTCTCACACAAACCGTGGCTCATAATCAATAGATTACTGAATGTAAATAATACACGCAAAATTGCTGGTAAAAGGTAATTAAATAATAAAAAGGTTATTTTTATCTATTTCTGTACCATATTGAATTTAAGTTATATTACCTATGAAGAGAACTTAAGTCATATCCATGAAAGTAAACTCTCTCCCATATATCTGCGGGCGCAATTCTTCTAAACACAGAGAACAACTTCTCAATGAATCTGGAACAATTGATTATGTGGATGCCGCGCTGGTGGACCGGGAAGGCCAACTGAAGAAATAAATACACAAAGAAAAATATTCAAAGCGATATAATATTATACCTTAATTCTAAAGCAAACATTTTATTAAAAAAAACTAGCGGCTCACTCTCGCTTCACTCGGGTACGACTCTAGAAAAGCACAACCAGATCTATCCTACGGGAATCGTTCATTTTTCCGGGATGAAAAGTATCTGAAATGTTGGGGATATATAGTATCACCATGCAAAACTTCATTTAAATCAGTCCAACATTTTCGGAGATTAGCAAGTACAAACAGACAAACAAATAAATAGACAGACAGAGAAACAAAAAAATTAAAAAAAATCTGGATTGGTCTTATTTCTCTTCTTACATCCCCCTGACTCGGTTTTTAGCATTTTTTTATGTACAGACATTCGACCTCTACAGTTTTATTATATGTATAGAGTTGATTTTTAAAGGAAATTGTTATGAATAATATAATAGAAGATAGTCAGCCAGGCGTTTTTAAATGTTTAGACATGGCTTGCACTTTTATTGTGTAGTATGAATTGAAATAGGTTAAAAAAGATGAAGTTTAATTTTAGCACGATGAGTACTGAGTACTCAGAAAAGAACTGATAATATTTGTTTTTCGGATTGCCACTCGCAAGAGGGTATACTCGTAGAATGAACAGTAGACACACGCGAATAAAATAAGAGAAATGTGCTAGTTGCTATTATTTATAATTATGAACTGAAAATCTATTCAATATAATTCAATTGGTCTACCTCAAAAAATGTCGTATAAGTAATGAGAAATCATCGATCAAAAAAGTACTAGATACACAATCAGCGACAAAAAATGTCTTCACCAAATGAACGCTCATTTGAACATTTGAGCGCTTTTAATGTTTTTTTTTGTGAAAACAACTTTAAACATTAAATATAAGGTTTAATTTACATTGTTGTATATTTATTTCAACTAGAATAATTACTTAAACACAATTGGTGTCAGTTTTAAGAGAACTTTTGCATGAGATTGTGTATCTGGGACCTTTTGAATCGATGTGAGTAATGTAATTAAAAAACGTACACCCATAACATCCATAATCTGCATTGCGACAGATGGCGTTAGTTGTCTCATGTGTTTTAAACTAATGCCCTCACAGTCGAGGAGCGCGGTCCCTCCTAACACTTGTAATTTTGGCTGCATTATGCCAACCTCTAAGAGGAGGAGGCAACCTCTTACCAATTCCTCTACTGGAAATATATTTGGATCCCATTTACCTAGAATGTTAAAGTTGTCTTTAGATATATGGTTTAAATAATGTACTTAAATTAAAATTTATGTTGAGATATTTAATTTTAAGAAACAGTACTCGTACAGTTACTCGTAGCTTATTTCAAATCTTTTACTGACTTGTGCTTTTCAAAGTATTTCACAGATCGAAATAGGTAATATAACTTATATACATATCTAGGTTTAGTCTTTAATAAATAAAATCATTTACACAATTTAATAAAAAAAATATTTTCCATAAACACAGGTTACATTTTGCCCATGCCGTATTTAAAATCATTGAAAATGAAATAGTCCATTAGGAAATGCTCTAGATATAAACCCAACCTTAGTTCTCAATCCGCGCACTAGATGTCGCTGGCACGTTAAAATTCAAGCTATGGTTTGGTTTGTTTGGAAGTATATAAGGCGGTGGGAGTGATAGCTCGAGCACTCTGGTTTCCCTTCAACACGTATAAATCTTTCGCCTTTTACTAAAGATTTCCGTGGAGGGGAACACTCAAATGAGTCTAACTCAATTTTTGATGCTCTACAATATATGTAGAGCTTAGATTTTTTCATATTCCATATTTGCATGGTAAAATTTACGGTATTTCGAAAAGTTCGATAATACATAGAACTAGCATTGCCCGCGCGCCGCCCGCGTTCAGATGACCAAAAACCAAATTCTTGGGTTTTACATATTAGTATACTCTAACATTGCAGTTTTCGTATTTTTTTCCCAGAAATGAAATATTTTCCCGCGGCAAAAAGTTAGAAGAATTTTTGTCTGTCTGTTACCGCATCACAGAAAAACTACTGGACGGATTTTAATAAAATTTGGTATGGTCATAGCTGATTATCCGGGTCAACATATAGGATACTTTTTACCGCAGAAAAATATCTTATTTCTGAGAAAAAATACATAAACTGGTGAGAATAAAAAAACGATGATACTATATACATTTTAGCAAGTTAACTTACTAAATATGATAAAAACTATTAAAAATAGCTAATCTTGAAAAAGTAAATCAATGGCACTATTTTATTCATTAAAAAGTTATTTTAATGAATATTTATTTTTGTATTATTTAGATATTTGTCAATAGATGTCGCTATGTGTCTTAAAAAATACGTAGTTTTAATTCCAAAAAATTGAATTGTACATTAAAATTTAGACCTTTCTATGATTTTATTAGAATTACTACTAAATTGTCCGCGCCCTCGCCCGTGTTCAAGTTATCAAAAAACAATCTTTTTGGCTTTATAAATTAGTTACATCTATAGATACATTAAAATTTAATTAAGCCGTATCTGTGTTTTAAATATTTGTTGGAAAATTTTATTGAAATACACATTATTATCGCTAACAGAGGCCGAATCTTAGTATAGTTGTAAGAATTTTTGTCTGTCTGTGTGTTTGTGACTGCATCACAGAAAATCACTGGAAGGATTTTGAAGAAATTGGGTATGGTAATATAGCTGGTTATCTGGGTCAACTGATATGCTAATACGAGTATACTAATATGTAAAACCTAATTTGGTAATTTGGTTTTGGCCACATGAACGCGGGCGGAGCCGCGGGCAATGCTAGTTATCCATAAGTACCAATCAATTAAGCCTTACAATAGTAAGGCATCAAAAATTGAGTTAGACTCATTTGAGTGTTCCCCTCCACGGAAATCTTTAGTAAAAGGCGAAAGATATATACGTGTTGAAGGAAAACCAGAGTGCTGGAGCTATCACTCCCACCGCCTTATATACTTCCAAACAAACCAAACCATAGCTTGAATTTTAACGTGCCAGCGACATCTAGTGCGCGGATTGAGAACTAAGGTTGGGTTTACATCTAAAACAGTATTTTAATATTCATCATTTTTACGTTGCTTACAGCCAATCTTAAAGAATGAGATCACATTTTGATAGTTTTAGAACTGGTAGCATTTCTATATAGAAAAATATATTAATCATTTCCATATTTCGTCACATCAATCGGAAATTTAAAATTTTCGAACCTTATTAATATGTTTTGTAGCTTAAAGCTTACCTAATCTACAAATAATAAGTCTACCAACATCTGGTCTATCAAAGAGAACCCCTTCGTAGACATCGTCTAGTCTTTCAAGTCCAAACCAATATACATTACGCCATAAGTGAGGATTTTGTTCACGGAATTTGCAATAACGCACCACCTGTGAAAGGGATTGAATAAATAATACCTACTTTAGATAAAGTTAAAATACGTTATTTTCGAGTACAGTGTCTGAACTCAACTTGAGTTATTTATACTTTTGATTTTTGTGTAAATATATAATTAAAATTAAAGCTCTATATTACAAATATGTATATACAAATAGTGTCTGTTTACGGACAGTTATAATTAATCGATCTCTCGATTATATGTAATTTATCTATGTGCCTACCAGAACAAGTTCGAAAGAAGCTTTTTATAGTTTTCAACCGACTTCAAAAAGGAGGAGGTTCTCAATTCGACTGTATGTTTTTTTTTTTTTTTTTTTTTTATGTTTGTTACCTCAGAACTCCGTCATTTATTAACTGATTTGGACAATTTTTGTTTTGTTTGAAAGGGTATACTTCCAGATTGGTCCCATTTAAATTTCAAAAAAAAATACCACCCCTAAGGTTGGAAAAACAAGTAATGATGAATTTAACCTACTTCTAATTGTCATATTGACTTGAAACTTTGCAAGTATTTCTATTTCCGTTGATAGTACAGTGGTTCGGTGTTGTTGACCTGATCTGATGGCAAGGCCAGAAGGTGGATAGGTGCAACTCTTCAACGGCTAATAGTAGATACTTTGAGTTTGGGCTTATTTTGTTTGATTTGACAAGCCTAACACGTTAGAATTCTTACTTTGCTACTACTGTCTACACTAAAAAGGGGAAAATAAAACTTTTTAACAAAAAAATAAAAACCGACTTCAAACAAAAGCACTAAAAAGTAAAAAATAACTGATTGGTAGTTTTCATTTACTATACATACCTAATCAAATATTTTCGAAGTCGGTGTGCTTTGGCTAAGTAATTAAAGCCTACCTATTAAATACATACCTAATCAAATATTTTCGAAATCGGTGCCAGCCCATACAAAGCAAAGCACACCGACTTCGAAAATATTTGATTAGGTATGTATAGTAAATGAAAACTACCAATCAGTTATTTTTTACTTTTTAGTGCTTTTGTTTGAAGTCGGTTTTTATTTTTTTGTTAAAAAGTTTTTATGTCAAATAGATCTTACTCTGGTAGGTCAAAGAATCTAAATCGCCAGATTGTTATATTTGACTATTAAAGGATTTCCATTTTATTATTAAAAGTTAAAATTTAAAAGATTTTAATTAAAAAAATAATCAGAATAAAACTAACTATAACATTAAAAAGATAAACATAATTGCGTAGCGAGTAGACAAATCACAAATCACTATTCTTTTAAATGAGCATCTACGTTTATATATATATATATATAAGTTAGTTGTTAGTCTAATAATAAATAAACAAAATAAAAGCGAAAGATTAACCAACTGAGTCATTACTACCAAGGAATCAGAACATACCAGGCGGTGTGCTCTCGCAGGTATAAAGCGGCGCGCGCGCAGGAAACGTAGTAAGAATGCGTCATCCATGCGTGGTGGGTGGCATTCACCTCGCTCTGTAAACACGTACATATTCAATTGAATTATATGAAATCTATACAAATAAATGAAATTTAAGTGTCTGTTTGTAATGTCAAAATAATAACTTTTTACTAAATATATTATATACGGTACTAATAAGAAAGTTTTTCAATTTTTAAATTTTGTCTCTCTTGCTAACTATTTGTTCCGGCTCATCTGCAAAACGGCTGTACCGATTTTAAGGAGATTTTCATTGGCATATAGTTGATGTTAGAACTTTTATTTTAGAAAAAACAATAGGGTTCCGTGCAAAAAATGAGAACCCATGAAATTGTGAACGAAACTCGCGTACCGAAGAACGCACCCATGCAAAGCGAGGGTGAGTCGCTAGTCTGTATATAAAAATAACAAAACATTAAATAAATTCTAAGGAGATGCAATGTAGAAATTATTTTATAAAATACTAGTTTTCACCTACGAATTCGCTCGTATACTGAGCGGGTGAGAATCTATATAGGCTACCTGCCTACATGTACGTCCCCAAGATGTAATTTTATGTCTTTGTCGTATTTTATCGAAATTTGTTCAGCGCTTTAAACGTGAAAAGGTAACAGACAAAGTTATTTTCACATTTATAATAATATGGGATTAATAAACAGTATAGATTTCTCAGAGATGATATATTTTCCCGCAGTAAAAAGTATCCTATATATTGATCCGAATAACCAGCTATCATCATGCCAAATTTCATAAAAATCTGTCTAGTGGTTTTCTCGTCATGCGTTCACAGACAGACAGACAAAAATTATAGATCCAGCCTCTGTATCATAATAATAACTATTTCAATAAGATTTTACTGTTAGTTAGATATTTATAGATACGAGTATATTGTTACATATAATATATAATATATATATAATCTCCTATAAATTGTTTTTAAAGAGATTAATTAATTGGTTGGAAGTTCTAACAGGAAGTGAATAGTTATCGTATGGAATGTTTACAACCACCTTACCGGCTACCAGTCATTCACAGCTGGGCTAGTATTCTGAACTCCATACAAAGTATCAGGCAAGCATATTATACTAAGAGATCTTTAAATCTTTCAAATAACTTTATATAAATAGGCTAAGATAAAACAGATCAGTACCATTTTCTCCTCTGTCTATCAACAGATTTAATTTTGTTTTTTAGTAGCTAATTGCTATTGTAGATCATTAGTGTTATCATTGGAAAAAATATGGTTTTTTTAATAAAAAGGTAAATTCTAATATGCTTTCCACAAACTTTCAACTATAATTTCAACCACTAGTTTATTTAAATCCAGTCATTGTGTTAAGTAATTTTAGTAACAAAGTCAGTCCCCCAATAAATCTAATATATTAAGTAAAATGTGCTTAATTCTAACAATTTAACTAATATACATTTAACTATATAACAGTTAGGTATATTAAAAAAAAACCCTTTCATGGAACCTTTCCCATATATTGATAAAATATATTAAAATTAAACCCAAAGTAGATAATAACAAAGTGTTATTATTTCTTATATGGAATTATACTTTGATTTTAATTTAGTTAGGCTGTGGACTCTGTACGGTTTACTCACAACGCTTACAAACTCATGCATTCTTAGTACATGCAGTTGAGATCGAAATGTCCGTCATAGCGCTCTCTCCTATCAATTCCTGATAAACAAACACCATTCATTCATAGAATTCCTTTACAGTTTTCTATCCTTCTCTGACCTATACATTTTGTCATAATAGAAAGAGAAGAGAAACAACTTATCATAAAGCGCATCTGGTACGCATGAAATAAAATATAATGTAAATAGTAAATATCTATGTGTTATTTTAGATAATATGTATTTATAATAGACCAGATACCTATACAGTATACATATATATAAAAATCGATGTGTATGTATGTTCTCTATGTACCCCAAAACGGCTGGAGTGATTGTAATGAAATTTTCAGATGAACCCAGCAAACCCGGCGAAGCCGCGTGTATTGCTAGTAATACGATAAAATTACAGGCACAACATGATATGGCAAATAATAACTTATTGTTAAATATTTGGCTTACTAGAGATTGTTTGTGTTCAATTAACATCATAAGTACATAGTAAGACAAGCTTTTATCAAATAATAATTTGCACTTCTATAGTTGTTCACTCCAGTGCAAAAATTTAATATAAGACAGCATCTCGTCTTGCTCCTTTACCCGTGCTAAGAACTAGCTCTTTTTTCACTCAAAGAATCGAAATTTCAAGACACCTAGCATTCTTGCTACAGCTATAGTAAAATCAACATAAAAACCCTACTGCGTAAAAAGAGAACTAAAAAGATGATAACAAGTTGATAAAGAAACATAGTATTTTGCAGTCAGTTATCAAGACGAATCTAACGACGTATGAACCATCAAATTCGGTTAAGCCATTTAGTAATTATGAGGGAATATAGAGTCTTACATACATACAGGTCAAACACATAACCCTCCTTGGGCTTCACCAAAAGCTTTCGAAAATTATAGCCGGTAACGAATTTGAATTCGAAACTTCGTAGTTCAATCAAGTATCAACCACACAGCTATCGTTCCACTATAAGTCCCGCCCATAATATATTCTATTCACCATAAATCATATATCTCAGCTCTTCTATGAGGCATGCGCGTGTGGCGGGGTCCTCCTCGCATAGTATGCGAGCCTGGTACTCGCACTCCGGATCGACGTGCCTGTCGAGCTCCGCCTTGAAAGCTATTTCTTGAAATGACATACTGTAAAAATGAATATTTTTTTATACATAATACATGTTAAGTAGAAATAAATATAAAATATATTTTATAAGACTGCCTAGTTAGGGTTCCGTACCCGAAGGGTGCCCACGGAACCCTATTATTACTAAGCCTCCGTAATCCGTCCGTCCGTCAGTCAGAGGGTTGTAGCTCATAAACCGTAATATGTAGACAGTTGACATTTTCACAGAGTATGTATTTCTATTGCCGCTATAACAACAAATAATAAAAATAAATAAAAATTACACCACCGAAGCAGTTATCGATATATAGTTATAGATATATCGAAGTTTATATACTACATACATAGAGTAAAAGTCTTATTAATAAAAAGTACAGTACGGATGATACGGAAACCTTCGTGTGCGAATTCAATTCACACTTGACCGTTTTTTTTGTTTTATAACTTTTTATACAAATATAGACAAGTGCCCTCACACAATCTGCTTATAGTTAAACTAATTGTAGATAATAAAACATAAAAAAAAGTTTTATAACTTTTTATACTCTATTTAATAATATTTCAAAATATGGCACTTGCTTTTCGCCCGTTCGTCTCTAGGTACGTTTTAATTAAATATACATATACAAATAGTTATTGCGAGTGTACCTTAGGAGATAGGTATATGCTATTGCGGACTTTCTTGTAGATCTTTTTAAGACCTGCAACAGTTTTGATGTATCTCTTAAGGCTTAGCCAGAGTTAGCCATATAATATATTGTAAGGACGATTCCAAAGAACTAGGTATTGTGTTTTCCCGTGGCAATGACAGATATTCTTGTAGTAAAAGGTAAAAATATAAAAATCAATATTCATTGCGAAGAAATCTGAAGAAAATGCGAACCTAAGTGAGTCGGTCAAGAATTTTAGTAGGATTATAATTGCGAAAAGTTATGTGCATTTGTTCTCCTTCTCGTTGAAATGGCTGGACGGATTTGGATGAAATTTAGTATACCGATAGGTAGATTATGAACTGGAGTAAAAGATAGGCAACAATAGCCGGTCGGTAGTGTGTTTTTGTTTCCAAACAATGATGGAATAAAACAAATATCTAGAACACGTGTATTCCTTTAATGTTTACCCACTAAAGCGGAAAACATGGTTCTCAACATTTGTTTGCAATTTTGTTGACGATTCGAGGTTTTGTTTATAGAAACCAACACGTGTTGACAATATAAATTGCTAATTTTCTTTTGGTGACATTAAGAGATACAAACTTTTTTTTACAGGACCACGTATATAAGTCGCTTAATTGATTTTTAAATAAAACTATCATTTCGGATTATTTCGCGGATTTATTTTGATTTTTGATTCCCGACGTTTCGAATGCTTTACAAATTACAGCAAACATGGTCACGGGAGAGACTAAGGTTTTCTCAAAGGCGTTATATACCTGTTACAGACAGTGCTTACGCACAATTTTACACAATGATTTCAAAAATGGCACCAATGTACCATTTTTAATTACAATTCATTTTTAAACTTGAATATATTTACTTAGCACACATTAAATAATTGATGTTTGCTGTATGTCATACATTTTTTTTTATTTACGACTTAATATAAAAACTTTATTTACAAAAAAGAAAATTACAAATATACTTAATTATATATACAAAACATATGTACACTTAGTTATTACTGTACAAGTCATGTCCGCGTGGAATAGTGGCAAGAATACTAGCCGCATTCCCCCGTTGAATGGCAATGCCGATTCTTTGGGCGAAAAATGCGCCAGCCCTCCTGTCACCAGTAGAGGTGATAAGACGGGGTGTTATGTCTTTTAAGAAGAGCTTAGCACTTTGACTCCATTTAATTATAGTATTTTTAAAAACCTTACAAGTTTTTATTTAGTGACATATTTTTTTATTTACACAGCAATACTTACATGGACGTAGCTCTAAGAGTTGCAACCACTAATCAATAAATGATCCTATTTAATCGGTAAATATATAAAATAAATGTCGCGTTCAAAATATAAAGCAAGAAATAATAAAAAAAACCAATGCTATTATTGACGTATAGAGGATATTATGTATTTCAAGAACATGTGTATATATTATGACAGAGCTATATATGGAAATATGTACATATTAAACATTATATATTATGTTTTTACCTATTTAGCTTGCTCACTTGCATTCTTTTATCGAGTCATTGATTGAGTGTTTATTAATACAGCGCTCAGTTGGCTTTTTTAACGTGTAGGATAATGAGTCGATTAATATGTATAATTCTTCGATTTTGAAAAAAATCATAAAAAAAAGTTAAAGAGTGTTAAATCGCAATTATGATCACTAAGACTGAAAATAAAAACTTTTTAACAAAAAAATAAAAACCGACTTCAAAAAAAGCACTAAAAAGTAAAAAAATAACTGATTGGTAGTTTTCATTTACTATATATACCTAATCAAATATATTCGAAGTCGGTGTGCTATGCTTTGTATGGGCTGGCTTGATTGGCTTTGTTTTTTTTGAAATTTAAATGAGACTAATCTTGAAGTATACACTTTTAAACAAAACAAAAATTCTCTAAATTGGTTAACAAATGACGGAGTTCTGAGGTAACAAACATAAAAAAAACATACAGCCGAATTGAGAACCTCCTCCTTTTTGATGAAGTCGATTGATTATACAACGTATTTCGTGTTTTCTAGCAAAATTTCTCCTTGTTGTTTTCTGTTTTTTCTATCAAAATTAACATTTTCAGACACTTATATAAAATGTAATGGTAAAAACGCTGAACTCACTTTTTTATCAATTTAGCTTAATTTTAAACCAAATTAGGTACAATATGGCTTCCACTATTATCACATTTGAATATTATTTTATTTTAATTAATATTTATACACAAAACAATATGGAAGCTACATAGTAAAACATATAGTTGCATAATGTGTTTTGATAAATCTATATATATATATATATATAAAAATGCCATCACGCATGAACGGCTGGACCGATTTAACTATATATTTTTTATTGTGTTTGTTATTGCCAGGAGAAGGTTCTAATGAGAGAAAAAAATTAAAAAATTGCGCGGAAAATTATAAAATTTATGAATTCTTCTTTAAGAATACTTAACAACCATATAATATATAAATAAAATGAATGTTGGTAAGCAAATAACTCAAGAATGGCTTGACTAATTCGGCGAATTTTTTTTCTTATGTTCCTTAAGGTCCACAGAAGGTTTAAATAAAGAAAAAAAATGAAAGTTTTTGAATTAACGAAAAAAAAATTATATGGTTAGCCATATAATTTTTTTTTCGTTAATTCAAAAACAAGCGTTAGCAAGCGTTAGCGCTTGCTAATAACTATTTGTATCTACTTAAAACGTACCTAGCGAAGAAACCGAGCGAAGCGAGGCTGAGTCGCTAGTTCTTTATTTATAAAAATATCAGTAAATTCATATCTACGAGTATACAGTGACGTCGTACATCAATGTCGTGTAATGATTTCTAAATATAAAATAAATTGTGATAACAATGTAGGTCATCTCATACTGTGATGTCCAGTTGAGAATATTTTTGTCAATTTTAATGTATTTTAATAACTTTTTTCTAATTAGTTTTTTAGTTAGATAAATAAATAAATATAAATATGTTGGGAAATTAGCATAGCACCATCTAGTTCCATGGTGAGCTACGAGGCTTGTGTTATGGCCACCATATAGTTTATACACTACACATGTATAACTTTAAATACATGTATATTATAAATATAAACACCCATGACTGGAGTACAAACATTCGTGCTCGTCACATAAATGAATGCCACCAGCAGGACTCGAACCAGCACTGGCATAGCAAGTAAGGTCACTACAAACTGAGCCAAACGTGTCGTCAAATATGTAATAAATCAACATATTCGCAGCTTTATTGGGGCTTAGTGGCTAGTAAGTCTGGCGGCGGATCGTGAAGTCATTTGTTTGAATCCCGGATTGAAATAAAATAATGACTGGGTTTTTTACGAAATACATAGTACACTGTGCAGATTTTGGAAGTCAGCTATTTATGTATTATGTATAGTGCACACTGCTGTGCCCTGTAACTCCAGCACGTTGAAATGTAAGTTGTAAAACGTACCTTGGAACAAACCTGTGTGCTTAGTGTAAGTTTCATATGACAAATCGAATGACTTAACCACGCCGTAAATCGACCATACGTTGTCACGAAGTAAAATGAATAAGTCTGAGTGCGACTGACGAGCTAGTCATTCGATTCAAATGACGTTTGCTCACCGAGTTCAGCGTTTATATTTTTTCGTATATTGGTAGCACGTAGCGCATATGCGATAAACCGACCAAATTGAATATAATGATTTTCTAACGCTAATTGTATGGAGGCGATGTATTATCTAAATAGTCGAGCTACGTATCGCGTAAAGCTTCAAACTTGTTGGAATTTGTTGTGTAAACAAACTGTGTACCAATTATTATTTAACTCAATTTGAATTGTTAGTAACTTTTATGGAGGAGTAAATACTAACCTAAACAAGTTATTAGTTATTTACAATATTGAATGCGAGTTGTTGAAGTTACCTTGTGATAGATATGTGTTTTTGTTTTCTTATTGCTAGACATGGAGATCTTAGTAAGTCAATAATCAATGCAAGAAGTAAAATCGTGACCATCCAGTATTGGAAGGAGTTTACATCACTGCTTAACAGTGATAGCAGTGGTGATACAAAACCACAGAGAAGCGGAAGAAGGTCCGATTCATGAATGTAAGTTGTTTGGTATAGGTAGATATTATCATTTTATAAATAAATAGGAGAGGATGGGTGTGAATATATATTTATTTTTTATGCCATGGAATGAGCCTGGACCTTCATGTAGAGCCTCCTTTAAGCCTGCTCCAAGCCAAGCCTTCAATGTAGATATTGAAATCACAGAAAGTATGTTACTTGATACTTATATTGTTCTTAATCTAAATCATAAAGTGAAAATATCCAGAGAATATTGCATGTAGAAATAAA